CCCCAAAACCCCAAAACCCCAAAACCCCAAAACCCCAATTCTCAGAATCACTCTTGAAATAAAATAAATATGTTAGAAGTAATCCCGATCCAAGGAAGCCCCAAAAGAGCTTCCCAAGCAGTTAAAAGGAAGTACAATAAAGACAATATTTTCAAGCGCCAAAAGAGGCTCAAGAGCAAGATTGATGGAGGTAAGTGCTAGCAAGGACATATCTTATAGGTATTTATATGAAAAGAACGCACTCTTACATGTCTTCTCATAAGGAAACGTCTGATCACGGCAATGAAATCTCTCACCTTCCGGGTAAGCTACTTGCTCTGAATTTAGACTTTATATTTAAGATTATCAAGCTCAAGAATTTTATTAATAGCAGCGCTAATGTTAAGTCCAACGGAGAGAGGAACGAGGAACTATGGTCTCTACTTATGAGTGGCCATAAGAAGACTAAACATCGCAACTCTAAAAATATCTTAACATCAAGAGAGTATCTCAGAATGGCTTCTAAGAAAATCTATGACCGTAGCGTTATTTGCCCAACTGAGGATAGAAATTATGCCCTAAAGAAAGGAATTGATAATTTAAAATAATCATGTTAAGGTGTTCGATCAATTTCTCAGAAATCTTGACCAAAATGTATCAGGTAGTTTAAATAGAACCTCAAAGGCAAAAAAGAAGAAGATGTATTCCTCGTCAAAAGTGATCCCAAAACCTCGCAATCAGCAGCTTGGCTTGAGAACTCCTAGTTTTAAAAGGTATTATTTCAGAAATATTTTATAGCTTTTCGGCAGATTCTTATTTGATTGGTGATGACAATCACACAGTGTCTCTGACGAGAAAGACAGGTAGTTACAGATTCAACAAAGATTGCTCAAACAATGATGGGAGTCCTACCATGAGGAACATAAAGATTGACTCAAAACGGAAGTTTAACCGCCATTCAACGATGAGAAAGCTTGCTACCATGAACTTTAAATAAAGTAAGTGAAATCGAATATCTTTTAGAAAGTCGAGACTCCCAAGATCAACATCATCAGCGTTGAGTCCTTCGGAGAGGATCTTAAATTCAGCTCCTCCATTGAGAAGACAAAAGGTAACGAGTTCTATTAATTTCTAGAGAATCAAGCTCTACCTCGAAGGTAAGCTAAAATATAATCATAACAGGAGTAAACTTGTTCCTTTGGAGCTTATTGAGAAGGCTACTCCTCAACCAAAAAAGGAGAAGGTACAAGAAAATAAGCCTAGAAATGAGTTAGTAAAACCTGAATTCAACACTCCTTTCAAGACTACTAAATAAAAGGGCGCTTTGTGAAAGGAAAAGTTAGGATTTGTCTAATCTTTAGAACAATTTCATTCTAAGTGTAGAAAAGAAATTAAATAGATTTGATAAAATATTAGAACTCAAAAAGAATCATAGCCAAGATTTTACTCATGAAGAGAAGACAGACCAAGAGATTAGAGATCGTACTGAAATGATCCAGAGAGTTATTACAAAGGACATGACTAGCAGTATAGAACATGATATTAGCATCAGAGATTCAAAAGTTGACCGATCCATTCAAAATTTTAATAGGATTTATAAAAATCATTCTCCTGTTAAATTATACCAAACAAACTATAGTCAGAAAATGAGGAACAGGACTCCAAAGTTGAGGTAAGAGATCTTGATAATTATGTAGCCTCTCATCATATAAATCATATGAAGGACCTGGACTAAAACCACTTAAATCTAAATCAAAAGTTGCTGAATTTATCAACCACTTTTATACAAAAGGAAGAGGTATCCGTTTTTCTAACAAATTCAGCAGCAAATAACAGATTTCGATCATATCAAAATCTCCCAAAGGTATTCTTATCATTATCTCCAAAATATAATTCCATCTTCTTCTCCCCTCTCAATCACCTAACCGCCCCTCCTTACAGAGGAGACTAAACGCAGCTTCACCAGAAGTGCAACTCACAAATAAATTTCCAAAACTAATGGACTCAGAATGAAAGCAAAGTAACGTTCAGAATAAAGGTACTTTCACTCTGCAAATCTTTCTAGCCCTTTTACTGAATAAGAGCCATATCCACTCTAATGCCTCCATTGGAGGCATTAGCGCTCTGCTGAATGCCTTCAGTCCGATAAAGGAAAGGGATATGAAATTTAGGCGTAAATGAGTAAGGCCATTGTTTACTAAAACATAACTCAATAATACCTATATCATAAGGGGTTTTGGGGTTTTGGGGTTTTGGGGTTTTGGGG